AGTCTGTCGCCCCTTTGCTGGCACTTGGAACATGTTTACCTAAGGCGGTGCCCACTGGTTGCAGATCATTATATTTCTAAAATTTAGACCTTTTGTATTCGAAAAATTACATATTTACTGCTAGTTATTGCTAACTAGCAGTAACTATTAATAATTATAAAGAATTATATTTATATTTTGTCATAATTTCTAAATTCTTATGGTGTAGCGTGATATTGGCGGCATTGGCATGATATAAAATTACATTAGAGATTTATAGATTCAACTCCTCGATGAAGTAAAATAAATCTGTATCGACAAACTTTGATTTATAATAATACCTTAATTTTCATTTAACAAATCACTTACATTAACTTGGCCTGTAACGATTTGAGTCCAAGCAAACAGAAATAAAAATATTCTGTACATGTTTACGTCAACGTTATACAGATAATTTTGGTGAAATTTATATGTGAAGACTTTTATAGAGATTTTATTCAAATATTTAAATATTGCTCAAATAAAAGATATTTGAGGTGTTTTTTGTAATATCTGATTTGTCCGACTTGTTGGTTTTGTTAAATGTTGCACCTTCTCGAATTTAATTGTTTGAACACAGCTTGTATTTTGTACATTAGTTTATTCTTATTTTTTTCAACTTGAATCTATTATATTTGATTCATTTTTATTTGAAATATATTAATTATTTTTACAATCTCTCAGTTTATTTCACCGAATAATCTTCAATCTTTAATATTATAATCGTTTCGGTTAATTTAATTGGTATCATTTTGTAATAACCCTACTCTAGATCACTTGTTTTTGAAAGCAAACATATTACTCATTGGCAGATTTTGTTACAAATAGTTAAAAAAATGGAAAGTGGAGAGTAGGTAACTTATTAAAATCTGGGCATTACTTAGATAATGCCCCATGTATAATAAATCGTGTAAACTAAGTTAAAAAACCTAAGTAACTTTAAAATGCTCGTTATTATATTGTACAAATTATTGTGTTGCAATTATATGTGTATGTGTATTGTAAGTAATTAAAATTATAATTACCTTTAAACTTAAGAATTGAAGACTTCAAAAAAAAAACGCATTTTGAAAGTAAATTAAATCTAAAAAATATATAACAGTCGAAATAATTAACAACTAAGAAGCCCCACAGTCACGTCTGCGCGTGTCAATTTTATATACATACATATGTTTGAATAAAATATTTAAATTTAAATTTAATTGAACAGTTGGTTATCAGAAACCTTAAATATACATGCATTTTTTTTAATTTCAAGAATTTTTGTATTTATCAAACATTTTTAGTATGTTGTGAAAGTATATATTGATCCAGTTGCCACATGTGAATAAACAAATCACAGCATGAATAATTATTTGAGCATTCTTTATAACCTGGTTGGCTATATTGACACATCTACTATTTTTTTACAATCTTTGAGAAACTCATTCTATATATCGTTTACAAAATGTCAAATCCTATGGACAGTGATAAGGATGATACTATTTTTGTAAGAAATTTGTTGATAAAACTGTTTTACTTATTTTATGATAAGTAATCATTTAATAATGCCTAACATCCTTGTATTGATATATTATATAACGAAATATAAAACAAATTAGTCTTATCATTATTAGCTAAATTGATTCTATGCATATTAATTTAAAACGGCAATCCAAAACTTCCAAGACCTGGCAATCCCCCACCAAACGCCCCTCCGCCAATGCCAGCACCTGCGCCGCCACCTCCACCAGCACCCGCACCTCCATATCCTCCTGCACCTCCGTTTGCACCAGCTCCTCCTCCACCATTTGATTTACCGCCTGCACCTCCTCCCATACCTGGAATTGCATTAGCAATACCTCCAAATCCACCTAAGAGGTCTGCGCCTGGTATTGCACTAGCCATACCTCCCATATCTGGTAAACCACCACCAAGAGCATCCATTCCCGGAATCGAGCTTGCCATACCTCCCGTATCTGGTATACCACCACCAAGAGCATCCATTCCTGGAATCGAGCTTGCCATACCTCCCATATCTGGTATACCACCACCAAGTGCATCCATTCCTGGAACCGAGCTTGCCATACCTCCCATATCTGGTACATCACCACCAAGTGCATCCATTCCTGGAACCGAGTTTGTCATACCTCCCATATCTGGTACACCACTTTGAGTAGTATGAGTTTCGGGTGAACTGTGATGACTATTTGACGTTGCATCATTGTTATTATTATCTGTGAAGATTTATGATAGAATACAAACTTGATTTCAAAAAAATAAGTTAAAAAAAAACAAATATATACCATTGGCGCTAAAAATTTCAAATCATTCGATTCAGAAAAATTAGTGAGTAAACTAGTGTGGTATTAATTAATGGCATTATTTAAAACAAACAATGGACAAATTTATGTTTAATTGTGGTAAGTCTTGTAACTATCTTTTACAGAATGATCTAAAAAAAAACAAAATATTGTTAAACACAATTTAAACAAAAAATTTCAATATTTGTCGGGCCATTTGTTGATTTTGGATCTACACAATTTATTCAACCGTAAAGCTGCTTTCTTGTACAAAGTTGATAGTAACTTTCATGTAGTGCTTTTGTGTATTTTTATTAGCGTATCACAGTGTACACTGTGAATTGGCATAACAGAAAACGTTTTCTGTTATGCCAATTCTTTGTTGTCATTTTGATTATCATAATTATTATATTGTGTCATAAAGTATCACCTGTATATTGTTGACTGGTTTGCCCATTATGGCCATTCGGAATGTATGCACCGTTCTGATCATAAGCACCATCTTGTCCAACTTGTGAATGATCGGCATTTTGATTAGTTTGCCCATTGCGGTTATAAGCACCATTCTTGTCATATGCACCATCTTGACCAGCCGGTGCCTGTACACCATTTCTGTTAGTTTGTTCGTGTATGTTTGGCGAAGGATTGTTATCCGTACTGCCAACACTGAAATTTTCTTCAGCCGTTTTACCTCCTTGCATATCGAGACCAGAGGATGCAACTTTAACGAAGTTCAACCAGCCTTGGCCAAAATCAAGGCCTGAATTTACTCCATTAGATAAAGCTTTTGTTCCTAAATTTTACAGACATAAAATTTTTAATATCTTTATAATTTTTTCTTACTAAAATAATTTTATATTAATAATGATGGATCATCATGGACTGTGTTTAAACAATAAATATGGATAGATTGAAGAAAAACTTAAAAAAAATATATGAAATATATTTTTTTGTACCGAGTTGGAGATTACAAACCATCTGCTGGTATTTGTGCAACCGTGCTTCCCCAAGCATTGCCTGTCGAACCAGTTTGTTCGCCAACAGCAACTGCATTGTCTTGTTGCAGACCACCAGAAGTTATCATATGGGAGATACCCATCAAAGATGCTAAAAATAATGTATTATCTGTTAGTACTTGATGCTATTAAGTATGATTTTTTATATATGTGAATCAGGTACATTAAACATTATTATTTGATGTCATCCTTACGCTTTAACTCTCTCCACTCGGATGCCGCTGCTCCGGCGGAAAAATTCATATAAATCTCAGAATTTGCGAGTGCAAAGGGTTAAAAATGTTTCATTATTATTAAATACTACTTATATTAATAAAGTTACTGAAAATAATATTCGTAGAATTATGGTTAAGATCTATTGGTTCTATTTGTAGATTGTTATATGGGTCATTCTTTTACAAACCGGACACTAATTAACCTTGACATTTTAGAATTGTCTGAAAATTTGTTTACAGATACTATTCATAAAATTATTTGACACGTCTTTCAGGATTTTGCTGAAAAAAAATTTTTTACGTAAATATTTACTATTGAAATATGGATTTTTTGCTCAATTTCTATGAACATCATCTGCGGTAAATTATATATCTCCGAATGTGCTGATCCGATCAGTATTATTTTTTTTTATTACACTCATATTGAAGTGAACTTTGTAATGATTAAAAATTTTTTTTTTGTTTTTGCAATTTTCTTAACAATAACAACCCTTAAATATTTACAAAGGTTTTACTCGGCCTTTACCCGAATTGAATCGATCCAAAAAAAAACATATATTTTCTTTTTTTCTCTGCAACAAAATTCTTTTTACAATTTGTTGGAGGATTTGTTACATCGAAAGATATTAAATATTTTCAAGCGCGAGCCGCGCTTTTCACGTCGTGGACCTCAAAGACTTGTACTTATTTGTCGCTTTCGAATGACAATCATATTGTTTTTCGGTTGAAAAATATTTTATAATTTCGCTTCTGGCGAATAATGAACATATAGTCAAAAAAAAATATTAGGGGAGAGCGGAGCTTAAAAGTTCGTGGGTAAAAAGATCCACTGCCAATATCTCAAAAACAAGTAAAGTTAGAAATTTTTTAACAACAATATTTGAATGTAGACGGATTGTTCAATTAGATTTTTCTAATAATAAAAAAATGTTTTGCAGTCTTTTTTTTTAACACTAGAAAGACGGACGCAGTCATTTTGTCTGTTTTGCATTTTCAAACATAAAAATCACTATGTATTTGAAGTCGCAGCTTCGTGAAATTTTGTGACTTTTTATACAACATATAAATGCGTAGATAAATCGTATTATTTGCCTTATCTCACTTTTATTTTCAATATTCTTACATGTTATGCCAGCATGGACGGTAAACAGTCATTTTGACTGCTATAGAAATTTTACATAAACAAACGGCTTTGTTACTGTATTGCAAATTGTTATCTCGCGTGCATTCATCTCGAATGATCAATGATGCATTTGTTACATAAAAATAACCGAATTTTGGTAAGTATTGACATTAGACCGGTCTTTTTCACGTAGTCACTTTCAGTATAACGCGTTGTTCAGTTGATTTTTTAGAACTTATAAATAAAATGACGAAGAGAAGTGAATTATTGCAAAAGCTAACAAACATAAGTAAAGAGTGTTCCGACATAGAATCAAATGCAGAAAATTGGGCACAATCATCTGAAGATGAATCGGATTATATTCCACGTGAATCATCTGATTCTGAGGGTAGCGATAAAGCTGATCACTATTGATGAAAATGAAAGTGCCATCAGTGTATGCAGGAGGGTGCTAAGTGGCTCAGAAACTGATGAAAGAATTCAAGAAACGGAAACAGCTGTCGATGGTACTGTATGGACAAAAATTGCCGAAGGTGATACTCTAGGAAGGTCATCATCTAATTGTGTGTTCAAGGATGTGAACGGGCCAACAAGCTATGCAAAAAAGAATATTATTACAGATGATTTAGTCAGTGCATTTTCGTTGATAATAGATAATTATATTATCAAACACATAAAACAGTGCACAGAAGATGAGGGCAGTCGAATTTTGGGGTACGATTGGAAAACATCGTTACCGGAAATACGTGCATTTATTGGAATTTTATATGCTCGTGGGGCCTATGAGGCAAAAAATTTGAAATTGACTTATTTATGGTCCGCAAAGAAGACATTACAGATCAAAGGTAAAGAAAATATACCGTGAAATCCAGTTCACGTAGATGACCCCTGCAAATATTTTTCAATATTTTGGCTGCGATAAATGCCTGGATTCTTTACAAGGAAGCGACAGGAATAAAAATCCAACGAAAACAAACCTTTAGAGAACAGTTTTTGTTTGAATTGGCAGAACAGCTTTCCGCGAACTACATGACATCAACACAAAAAAAAACAAAGGAAAATGATGACCCACAGACATCATGCAAATACCAATAGTAATAAAAGAAAATTTTGCCAAATAAGACTTTGTAATAATAATAAAACTAATAATACGTATCAAAGTTGCAACAAATATGTTTGCGGAAAATGTACTCATAAATAGATCTCAAATTATATTTGCATGAATTGTAAAAATAATGAACTTTTTTTTTCAGATGAACTATTTTTTTATTTTTAGCACTTATAGATAATTTGTATAAATGTAAATAGTACATGAAATAATAAAAATTAATTTTAAACAAATTTCTAAGCGCATTATTTATTTTTTTCACGACGCAGTCATTTTGACTGTTTTCAGGCAATGTAGGTATACTCAATTCGTCCGTCTTTCTAGTGTTAAATTCGTCATTTTCCGTCTTTACTCCATCCATAGCCTGGATAAAAAGGGATCGACTTATTTTTAATTTTAATAGAATTTTACGTAATAATTGCTAAATTATATAGCCAATGTAAAAAAAAATTTCATTCGTATATTTTTATAAAGAAAATACCAGATATACCTTTGATCTGATGCTTTGTCAGAAATATTTATCAAGAGAGTTAATTAACTATTAATTTATGTATGATTATATATATATATATATATATATATATATATATCAATATATCTATTGTAAAATAGCTTTTTTCTAACTTAATTAATTTTTTATTTACTATTTCCTTATTATTTACACCTAGGCCAGTATGAAGGTGTGGTTGACTCTGTTTACCCCACCCACATGTAAGCTTTAATAGCGATTATATCAGAAAGGGTTGAAGCCAACTTAAATATTCCTCTACATTCAAATATTGTTGTTAAAAAATTTCTAACTTTACTTGTTATTGAGATATTGGCAGTGGATCTTTTTACCCACGAACTTTTAAGCTCCGCTCTCCCCTAATATTTTTTTTTGACTATATGTTCATTATTCGCCAGAAGCGAAATTATAAAATATTTTTCAACCGAAAAACAATATGATTGTCATTCGAAAGCGACAAATAAGTACAAGTCTTTGAGGTCCACGACGTGAAAAGCGCGGCTCGCGCTTGAAAATATTTAATATCTTTCGATGTAACAAATCCTCCAACAAATTGTAAAAAGAATTTTGTTGCAGAGAAAAAAAGAAAATATATGTTTTTTTTTGGATCGATTCAATTCGGGTAAAGGCCGAGTAAAACCTTTGTAAATATTTAAGGGTTGTTATTGTTAAGAAAATTGCAAAAACAAAAAAAAAATTTTTAATCATTACAAAGTTCACTTCAATATGAGTGTAATAAAAAAAAATAATACTGATCGGATCAGCACATTCGGAGATATATAATTTACCGCAGATGATGTTCATAGAAATTGAGCAAAAAATCCATATTTCAATAGTAAATATTTACGTAAAAAATTTTTTTTCAGCAAAATCCTGAAAGACGTGTCAAATAATTTTATGAATAGTATCTGTAAACAAATTTTCAGACAATTCTAAAATGTCAAGGTTAATTAGTGTCCGGTTTGTAAAAGAATGACCCATATATTACTAACGCCTACCGAATCCAATGAACAAGGTTTACCAATTTATGATCATACCAGACTGTGCTTTAATGATCAGTTAATAAATGACTAACTTATTAAATTATCATCTTCTACTTAACTGTTGCATACAACACGTGTTATACTTGATACCCATTTAAGCTAAGAAGTTTGCAGATACAAGTTACCAAAATGTCCGACTGAACTTTGCTCTGATTGAAAATATAATTTAGGTTGTAATGAAAATTATTTATAGAGTTTTTATAAAAGTTGTATTTGCTGGCTCATATTTTGTAATTATGCATGTTTTCGGTATGAAACGTGTTAGAAAGAGGTTAATCCATAACTTGTTGAGGCACCTGTGTACGCCTTATAGCTAATAAAAATTTCAAAAAAAGAGAAACTTATGTAGTTTCTTCACCTATTAAATTTAGCATTAGTTTGCACTAAACCAAATTAAAAAGAATGATCAAATGACGAATAATTTCAATCTTTGTTGAAATTTTAACTGTATCGTTAGAAAAGTTGTTTTAAAAAGTGAAACGTGTGCATTGTATATGAGTGGAATTATTTGAATCGACAATAAAATTGCTGATAAATAAATACAAAAACTAGTGTATGGCATCGTGCTTCAAGGCAATTTGCTGGTACTTCCCGTACCAAAAATTTAATTCTATACCAAACAATTTATTTTAAACTTTGAGAAAAATTGATTTTTGAGAAGTTTAAAATTTTTGAAAAATAAATTGACTTTTTTGAAAAAAGACTTTTTGAAAAAAAAATACGATTTTTACGAACTTTTTTCAAAGCAGTTTTTAAAAATTGAAAATATCGACGCAGTCTAACGGACAAACGATGTTACGGAACCCACAAAAATGCTACCAAAATTTTCAAAATCTCTAGAAAATATCTGATAATTTGAAGTGCAAATGTCTAATGATTATTATTTTTGACCGCCAAATGGCATTTTTTTACTTTTTTAATAGATCTCCAAAAAAATCAATCAGTTTCTTCATATTTTCAATACGAGTGAAATGTTTTTTGAATGATTAAAATTGGACTCTACGTCAAGTGACAAAAATTGAGTTACCGTTTTTGGAACTTTTTGCCCCGAATATTCATAACTGTCAGACCTGTCCTTGCAAAAAACTAATCAGCACGTCTACTTATCAATAGGAGTCCAATGTTTTTTTGAATTATTAAAATTGATTGAACCGTATTCTCAAAATCGTCGACAAACACACATACACACACACAAACACATATGCATACATTGTTTCTAAGTTATAATGTTCAAAAACATCTGAAACATAAGTTATATAAAAATTTTCATTTTCGAATGCTTTATTTTTGCGAAAACTGACTAATTTTTTGTGATTTTTGCCCCGTATCGGCTGGTCCTGCTTTTGCTGAAAACTAATCAGCGCGGCTCCCCATGAGTAGGAATCGAATGTTTTTTTTCATTCAAGTCTCGAAGTCTCGAAGAACCAATTCATGCTAAAGTATGCTAATATGTTCAGGTGTAACGTAAAGATAAGCAAAATTTTTATTTTTGATTTTTGGATGATTTCTGTATCTTACTCTACGGGAATCAAAATTTGAATTCAATGAACTAGCAAATATAAACTAATGTTTCATTAAATCTGATCGTTATATAACATATATATTACCTACACCCAAAGTACCCGCGCTCGTACTGTGCTTCAATAAATCCGTCGCGCCGCCACTGGAACGCGACAAATGCGTGTCGTAGGCCCTTGCCGGAGTTCTAATATCATTGTAATTCTGTCGAAGAAATATTACGATTATTTATATTATTTATTGATAATATTGACATAATAGTCATACAATAAATGTAAATTGCGTTTTACTATTATTGAGGTTGAACTAAAACTGAATATATTTATATTAACTTCCCGTAGGGTAAGTTATAGTAATCGTCCAAAAATCGAAATCAAAAATTTTTACATTTCTCGACGTTTTGAAGGTTTCTGAACATTTTGGCATACCTCAGAAAAAATGGATGTGTGTGTGTATGTGTGTTTTGTATGTCCGCGTTTTTTCGTCCACGTTTTCGGGCGCAGGGATCAACCGATTTCAATGGTTTAAAAAACATTCGATTCCTATCGATAGGGAGATGTGCTGATTAGTTTTTGGCAAAGGCAGGTCCAGCCGTTATGGAGATATGGAGCAAAGAGTGCAGAAAATAGAAAGCGAGTTTTTGAGAGAACGGATCAACCGATTTGAATGGTTTAAAAAACATTCGATTCCTATTGATAGGGAGATGTGCTGATTAGTTTTTGGCAAAGGTAGGCCCAGCGGTTTTGGAGATACAGAGCGAAATGTTGAAAAAATGGCAGTTTTTGAGAGAACTAAGCGTCCGATTTAAATAATTCAAAGAACTTTTTGCTTGTTTCAACAAAATAATTGATTTTGGAAAAAAAAAATTTTTGTTTCGAATTTTTTTTTCAAAAAAATTTTTTTGTAATCTTATATATAAAAATGGATCGCAAAATGTGTTGGTAAGCGCATAACTCAACAACGCCTGGACCAATTTGGCCAATTCTTTTTTTAAATGTTCGTTGAAGTCCAAAGATGGTTGTTACGGCGAGAAAAAACGAATAATTGCCGGGAAAACCCTAAAAACAGCCCTTTTCTTCTTTAATCGAGTAGGCAACGCAATTTGTAAAAAAAACAATGATCTATGTCATGACATTTTGTGTAGTTTTTGATAATCTAATTTTGAATATATATTTATATAAACATAGAAATATCTTTTTCTTAATCAAGCTATATTGGCAGCCAAATTGTATGTTGTTTGTTCCCATATTGGAAAACCATCAGATTTGTTTGTCTATGCGCCAGGTAATCAAACAAAAAATCGTTTATCACAAAGCACTACAATGAAAAGTGAACTGATTTTTGAATTATGATTTACATTATTAAAATTACTTACTTTTAAATGCTTATAGTGTTTTATTTAATTATTCTTAATTCACACCGAATTATTACCAGGGTGACGGTTCTGTTCAGGATAATTTTTTGCAAAGAATAGAAAAAAGGTAGGCACAAAACACCGCCACATTACAATTTTTTTTGACAGGACGGAGTCTGTTGGGCCGGCTAGTTTTGGATAAAAATTCAAAAAATCACCCAGGCTAAGCACAGTCTAAGCGCCACTCTGGTACAAATGTTTACGCAAGTGCGTTTAGACTGTTTATGTACTGGAGCACTTTTCCAATTTTGTGAAAATCATTGAAAAATGTGAA